CCAATCTAGACGCAGTTTTGCGCAAGAAAGCCCCGATCGCCATTTTCGCCATCGGGGCTTTTTTGTGCAAAACGGTTCTCAGCTGTCTACACTGGCCCTCTTGCGCAAGAGGGCTTTTTCCTGAATGGGAGAGTCATTGTATTTGCGGAAGAACACTGACAATCTTACATTAGATCATCAGTGTTCTTGAGCAAATTCAAAGCGGCCAGTGTAGACAGCTGGCAAGTTTTTCCGCAAAAGCAGCTGCTTTTGAGGAAAAACTTGCCAGTCTAGATGCAGCCTATTTGTTAGCACTGCAGTACAAGGGAATAGGAGCATTAAATGGCCCTCACACAAAAGTTTTGCAAGTGCAGCATAATGTGAAGGTGAGCCATAAGAATTCAACCAATGTCATCTGTATTGGCGGGACCTAGGACTGTGAAGTGTAATAAAATATAAAGCAGATGTTTGCAATGGAATTCTGTCTGCCTCGGGGTAAAGGGACTTATGGACATAAGAAATACAATGATAGTTAAATCTTGATTTTTTTTTTAAAGAAAGTAAAATGTAAGTAAAAGACTAGAGATTTCACATTCCACCAACCAAATCTGAAGATAATTCCTAGAAGAGGCACTTCTAAGGAATTATGGGACTATTTGCAAATCTGTCCAGAAGCGAAGAGGTACTGAAGGCTACTTGTTTTGTATCTATTCCTGTACTTGTTTGGGAGGGGGAAAAAAATCCTTATCACCACTTTTAGGGTGTGTCTAGACTACAAAAAAAAATCCTTATCACCACTTTTAGTGTTCTCTCTCTCTCCACATATATATATGAATATACACATACACACATTGTATATATAAACAAGCTTGCGGGGATGAAGATTCTGACTTCTCCCACAGCCCCTACCTAGATCTGACTTTGCACAAGGAAGTTCAGAAAAAGTAATTTTTTTGACACCAGGATTTTACAATGTAATGGAAACAGCTTATAATAGCTAAATTAGCCCTGTACACACACACACTCCAACACAAACCATAAAAACTAGTCAAACACATCATGTCTCAAACATCAACAATTTAAATAAAGGGACAAAGTTTCTAATCCAAGCAGAAACAAAGTTTCTAGTCCAAGCAGCTTTGGAAATATAATTCATCAGAAATATGTTAGAAAAATTATGCAGAACTTAAATTCATCTTAGTTGCTCACTATTCATATTATTTGACTCCCACTGATTTTGATTTCAAACCCATGGTCCCAGTTGCCTCAAATATACAGAAACATTTTACACTGAGGAAAGATTGCACCTGGTGAAGTATCAGGGAGAGCACTTCAAAACCTGTCATTTATTAGACAATATGCCTGCTCCCAGCTGTCATCCAACTGACAATTAGTGAATTTCCTATGGTTAGGGAAATCTTTAGTGTTTACAATTTTTCAGTTTACTAACAAGCAGTTTTTTAAAATCTTTAATATTTTTTTATTTTTATTAATGGGACTAACAGTTCAAGGTGCTGAGCACCTCATGTGAAGTATGGCACATGCTCAGATTTGATTGCTGAAATTAATGAGAAATGAGGAACAAGCTACAAGATTTAGCCCTAAAATAGACCTTACTCTAGTCTAGGCCTTGGTCTACACTAGGGAGTTATTGCAAAATAACAGGCTGGTTATTCTGAAATAACAACTCCTGCTTTCCACGAGGAATAACACTTATTTTGAAATAGTTATTTCGAAATAGTATTAGTGTGCATGCTCCACTGCTGTTATTTCAAAATAACTACTTCCCAGAGTCATTCAAAGTAATTACTCCCCAGTGCTTTTTGGCTCTAAGTCAAAGTAGCACATCCACATAAAGGGAGCCTGCCTCAGACTAATTTTGAGGTTTCCGTGTAGTGTGAACACGCTATTTCTAAATTGTTATTTTGGGAGTTGCTATTTCAAAATAAGTTATTTTGAAATTATTTTCTAGTGTAAACATGCCCTAGGTGTTTGCAAGCAGAAATTTGCAGCACTGAGCTAGGGTGTTAGAATAAGTGAAATTGATTCAGAGGTCACTTAAGAAAACCATTTAAGCACATCCTTAACTTTAAACACATGCTTGAATTACAAACTTCACTGTGACTTAAGCATATGTTTATCACCCTCTCCCATCTTAGTTAGACCTCTAATTCTTATTCTGAATCATTTTGTCCTCCCATCATAAACAAACAGAAGCAAATACTCAAACATGTGCTTTAGTATTTTGTCAAACAGGATGGACTCAAACAACTGCTGAAGCCAAGGGCTTGGTTTTGCAGGGCCTAACCACCCACTCACTTGATTTCATAGTTCAAAATGAGAAAAATGCAAGAAAGCAAACATGTTTCGTATAAAATTAATTAGATTTCAGAAATGCTTTCTGTTTCAAGAAATCCATGGCAGTGGTAGAAACAAAACTAAGTCAAACATTTTTAAATGTTGTTTTTAAACTTTTAATAAAAAGAATGAAAGAAGCAGACTATGCTCCTGTTTCTAAAAAAAAGCACATTGCTAAGGTGGGCATTTCACTTACTTTAAAGAATAAGCTATATAGTGCTCTTTTATGCCCAGATCCTCTCACACAGTCACTGAATTTTTCTTTAATGGACAATAGCTAATAGAAAATAAATTACCAGATATTTAGTGGAGTGATCCAAAGGAATAACTCCTTCAGCCATATTTAATTATAAATAAATTATTCAAAACCAGACACTATAGTTTCTATATTTGATTTGATTTGATTTTTTCTTTCCTTGCTATATTGACTTCTCTGCCTCTCACAAAAACGTGCTGGCCTCAGCACTTGCATACTTACGTCACAATGCTTTCATCCATAGTAACGGGTTCTCTTGGGAATGCAATGGGTAGAATTCCAATAGTGTTGTCTGTGTTTCCACTCAGGCAGCACGCACAGGAGAACAAAGACAAAAGTGATGCTTGATTTAATCATCTATCAAGAACCTCAGCGTAGCATTGTTGACCCATCTCTCAGCTTTAAAGGTTTATGGGTAAAAATTGCATTTCAAAACACTGAGAAAGGGGTAGGCAAAGTGACAAAGAAGCAGCGATTTGACATTTTACCTGCCACTAGTTTTTTAAATGTTTTAACAAGGCTCCTGAAGGCTACATTTTCAAAAGGCCTTGATGAGACTGTCCACAATAATCACAACTACATGTGTCTACATTTGTAAAATCCAGCATTTGCCAGCAAATACAGTAATGTGTTAGCAAACCTAACTAAATAGTGTACATCTGCAAAACTGTTGCATGTGAGTGTAACCCAGAGGTGCAGAGACCACTGAGAAAGAGAGAGTGAAGTCTGCTCTCCAGCCTTAGCTAAGAGCTGCAGTCAAGGCAGGTAGCTTTAGCCCCTGAGGTTTAAACCCACCTGCCGAAGACCAGGAACTGTCAAGCTACACAAGGATAGATTTGGCATGTTTACATGAATGTGCTTGCACAGGTGGTCACAGTCAGGGAGAATCTCATCACTGGGTCTCAGTTCCCTGAAGTGTGATGGAGCCATCAGACAGCTACCGTAAAATCTCGAGTATAACGTGCACTTTTTTTCCAATTTTGTCCTGGGTCAAAGTCGGGGTGCGCATTATACATAGCAGGTTTTTTTTAAGGTTTTATTTTGGCTCCTGGACAAGGAGAGGAACCGGCGGCACTTCCAGGCTGCAGCACCCTGGCTCCTTCAGGCTGCGCCCTGAGGCCCCCGCAGCAGGCTGGGAGTGGAGAGTGAGCCGCAGAGCGCGCTGCCCCCTGGGCGCAGCAGGACACAGGAGGAGAAGGTGGCAAGGCACTCTGCCAAGGGGCCACCAACTTCCCTGGCCTGGGGTGTCCTGGCTGGGCTGTCCCCCTACTCTTGGCTGCAGCTACCAATGATGGCCGGGTCCAGGCTGTGGGTCTGGTCTTCTCCTCCGCTTGGAGAGGCTCTTGGAGGAGGTAGCTGCGCCTGGGGGTCCCCACGTCAGGCGCGAGCCGGGCACGGTGTGCAGGCAGCTGTCCAGAGGGGCAGGGGGTCAACTTTTTTTGAAAAGAACCCTGTAGTCTAGACACACCCTTTGTGATGCAATGAGGCCACACTGTACTTGAGAATATGGCCCTTAATTGTTAGTTTCCAAGTATGTGAGTTGAGCAAGACATATTTTCCTTTGGGCTGTGTACTTTACATTTCCCATAACCGTACTATCACCAGTGCAACTCCACCAGTGGCAACAATGGACAAGTTGCCAATGGCGGTAGGGTGTTTGCCATCATATTAGCTAGATTTTCACTGCGCCCAGTGAAGTGACATACTGATGAATCATAGGCATCTTGTTTATCCTAGATCTCTCAGGCTATGTCTACACTACAGATTTTTTGTTGAATTGATATTCCTCCTTCTACGAGGAAGAAGCCTTTTTGCGAAGAGTTCTTTTGCAAAAAGGAGTGTATGGACAGGAAAAAGGGGGGGGGGTTGAGCATGTGCCTTGGTGGCCATTCTGTGCATACCAATCAGAGCTTACTTTGAAAGAACGTCCATGCAGTCTGGATGCTCTCTTGCGCAAAAGCCCATTGCTTTTTCAATGCACTTTTGTAGTGTGGACACGCTCTTGCACAAGTCTTTTTGTGGCAGATCTCTTCTGATAAAAGCTTCTTGCACAAGAAGCCTGCAGTCTAGACGTAGCTTCAGTGGTGCTACTAATATTATAGAGATAGCCGATGAGGGTGGGGGTGTTTCAGGATATGAAATGGTAATTAAAGAAAATGGCTTGCTAAAGCAGAGCTGAACATGAAACGACTCACTGCATTCCTGTTAATGCACAACCACAACACTTGCCAAAACCACTTTGAGCGCTCATCATAGAACTAACAGAGCTATTTGATCATAAATGCTCTTCAGAGCAAGGCATTTTAGGTTAGCCAATAAGAAACTTCCTCATTTCCTCTGTTAGACAGATCTGTATAAATCTGAGAGTCTGCCATAAAAACACAAAAGTAGATCACAATAACACCCAGTTGTATGCAGCATTCCAAACATTACTGTGCAGTCAGCACCATTCCAAAGAGCAGCAGCAGCAGCAGCAGCAAGTGCAAGGGCAGGCTCTTGCCATCATGATTCATGCTGACTATGAAGGCATAGAGATTAAGGCCTGAAAGCACCACTAGATCATCTACTGTGACCTCCTGTATATCCCTGGCAACCAACACCACCCAGCACCTGCGCATTAAAGTGAATAACAAAATGAGACCAAAGTATTACAGCCCACAAGAGACTAGGCTGGTTTGTGCCACAGGCAGAGAATAGATAAGACCTAGATGCACCAGCATTCAAGAACCCTGCAATGTCAGGGAAATGCGTAAGTGAGAAATACACAGTTAATCCTCGTAACTGACTGCACCCACACACTGCAAATGAAGGTAAAGATAAACCCAAGGTCATTGTTAACCTAACCTGGGAGAAAATTCCTTCCTGACTACATGTAAGGCAATTGATTAGACCCTGAACCTATGAGCAGCCAGCCATGCACCTGAGAAATAGAAGGCTTAATGCCATCTCAGAGTTCTGGCCAAACCCATCGAGTGTCATCTCTGGTGCTTCAGTAGAAGAAGATTTTTAAAAACACCCTCCTAGAATATACTGGGAGGTGGGGGAAGAATGCCTTTCTGCCCCTGCCACTGGCCAGTTGAAATCCCCTTACCATCACAAGCAACCCTGCTGTTTCTTACTCTATAAGCAATCCCACCCATTTCAGTGGGACTATTCTAGGAGCAAGGTGCTGCTCCATGTGGTAAGGGTGGCAAAATCTGGTCTTAAATTATTAATTAATGTTGAGCTAATTTGTGGTGGCTTTGCACAGCCTATGGTAGCAGGAAGCAGTGTCTGAGACACAGAGTCCCTTGGGCTTCTTGATTGTGATGAAGTGGGTCTATGTCTAGACTGCAGACTTCTTTCAGAAGAAGCTTTTCTGGAAGAGATCTTTCACTGCAAAAGCGCATCGAAAAAGCAATCTTTTTTTTTTTAAAGATAACGTCCACACTGAATGGACACTCTCTCACATTTCAGCTGGGATAATTATGGTCAAAGTGGCCACCAGGGCACCCATCCACACACGCCTATTTCAGAAAAACCCCTCTGCTCTTTTGATTTTCTTTCGGAAGAACACGATTGCAGTGTGGACACAATTGATGTTTTTTCGGAAAAACTCAAACCTCTGTAGTGTAGACATACCCTGAAGGAGGAAATTTACTTCAAGCCTTTGAGGAATGCTAATACTCCCCCTCATCACAGCGAGCCAACATTGCTACCTGATGCAATAAGAAAGAAGTAATAGAGACATGCCTTTGCCTGAACCTTGACCCTTCCCTATCCCTTCTTTTTTGATAGGTCTCTCAGGAAGGAGAACTTTGTAGCAGGACCTGTGTTCCATCCAGCAGATATTTTACTTCAAGCGGTGAACAATAGCATATTTAGCCACATATTAGCATACAAAGGAGGATGTCTCCACTGTCAGCTGAATTTATACACTCTAGCACAAGGATGTTCCCTAGATATTGTATTTTAACAGCATGAATGTCGGAATAGCATATTAATAAAGCATTGCATGATCTAAGCCAGGTCAGCCATATTTGTTCTCTCCATCCCTGACTTTAGTATACCCACACTATTTTCCCTCCCACCAGACCAGCAGACTTCAACGGCTACAATTATTTCCCTCCTTCGTTCATCAGAACTTGTCAGTCTCCGCTTTGAATTACTAAACTGGCTTCCTCTTAGTCTCCACATCAACTTCAAACTTTCTTTAATCCTCAAGCCTGCACAGCTCTTTCACAATCTAAATCTCAGATCATTTTATCTATGTGTAAGCGGGGGAATGATCCCGTTATTGTGGGGAACTTTCCTGGCTTCTATACACCCCAGTGAAATGAACCAGCGAAAGGATCTGAGTCCCCGCTCCCACTTCCTTTACCCCACGGCTCCCTGATCCTGAGGGCTCCCCCTCCACTCTCCAGAGTAGCAGAGCCCTTGAAGCCCCAACAAGGCTGGGCCCAGGTTTCCTGGGGCTTAATCCCTGACCTTGTAGTCACTAGGGGCAGGAGTTAGGGTATCCCCACTCTGAGGTGCTCTCTTTACACTGCAGGCCTTCTTGGCCCAGTGATCACTTCATAAGGTTCAAAGCAAATACAATTTATTAAACATCAACTGATTAAAGAGAAAAGAATAAGAAAAAAAGGAGAATGGTTAAATGAGAACACACAGCCCTGCTCTGTAGCACAGGGACATCAAAACAGCAGCCTGCAGAGTGTAAGGACAGTCTACAGTCTCTTCCTTAGAGGCCCCTTAGAGGCCTTGGATGTGCTGCGGGGGGGAGCTGCAGGCTGGACACACTTGCTCTGGCAGTGACCACACAGCCTCAAGCTCTAAGTGGCCAGACCCATCTCCCAGTCCAGAGCCTCTCCCCACACTTTGCAGTTCCCAGCTGCTCACCACATCCAGCTGCAGGCTGAGCTGCTTGACCAGTCTCTAGCTTCTTGCTTTGTTTCTCTGTTCCTTTTGGCTCTCTGAGCACTGCCAGTCTGCTGCTCAACACAGGGTCTGCGCTCCTTGAGCTGTGTGTATCTGGCTCAGCTGCTGCAAAAACTGCCCCTCAGCACACTGCTTGGGCTGTCTCTCAGCTCTGTTTTTGTAGGACTTCTTCTGCACACAGCTTGCACTCCTTGGGCTGTCTCTCAGCTCTCTGTTTGCTCAGAGAGAGCCAGAACAATCCCTTTCAGCTCTGTCTTTGCAGGACCTCTTCACACAGCTTGTACTGCTCTCTCAGCTCTCTCCTTGCTCAGAAAGACCCAGAACAATCCCAGCTCACAGGGAGGATGGGGCCTGGCCACTCCCCTTCCTCACTGGCCTGTCCAACCTGTCAATCAGGCTGAGCTGGAGTGTTGGCTGCTTTCCATTGTCTCTGGGGTCAGTCAGTCTCATGAACTCTTCCCCTTCAGATACTGCGAGCTGGCAAACCAAAAACTCCCACAGAGTTTTAGTAAGGGGTAACAGTCCCCTTACATATGCTCTTCCTCTATACGAGTGAGGTGAGGCTCACCTCACCTTTGGAGCTGGTCACAAAGTATTTGGGGGTCTTTTTTTCCTTTCAGAAACTTTTGACTTTGGTGAAAATATTTTGGTTTTCAGGTTTCCAGGGGGTTTTTTTTTTTCCAAAGTTCAAAACAGTTCCCAAAGCCAAAACATTTTAAACTTAACACTGTCAAAGAAAAATATTTTCATCCAAAACCAGAAAAAGATTCAGTTTTCAGACAAAACATTCAGTTGGGGGGGGGGAGGAAGGGATGAGAGGTTAAACTCCATCCAAAACCAGAAAAAGAGTCAGTTTTCAGCCAAAACATTCAGTTGGGGGGGGAGGGGGAGGAAGGGATGAGAGGTTAAACTATACAAAATGTTGCTTTGGTGGGTTTTCGGTTGGTTGGTTTTTTTGTAGAAAGCAGATGCTTTCTATGAAATTTCTCATTTCTCAAAAAGCTCATTTAGCATTGCAAGAAGTGCTGAGGGCAAATTTTCAACCAACATTATTCACCATGGAAAGATAAATGAAATCAAATGTAAATATTCCTCACATGTTTGTTTCTTTATGGCCCACTGGATCACAGTATTGTTAGCATCTCTTGGTGAAGAAAATACAGTACCGATGGAGGGCTGCATTGCATTGGGGACACATCTCTTGACTGCACTTGATTTCCCAGTATTAGTGCATTGCTACTGGCAAGAAGCGCCTCTGCTGATGAGATGGTACTTTTAAGAGGATTAATGAGACTGAGAATGATTTTCCGTGATTAGATTTCTTGGGAAGCTTGGGGCACTCTAAGCTGCTACTGAGTCAATGAAAAGCTGTGATTCCTAAATCAACATTAGAAGAGCTATACCACCACTGTGCTGATAAACACAATTAGATCTCTGTAATGCAATTAGGGCCCTTTCTATTGATTTGTTTGATATTTGTACTTGGTTTCCAGAGAAGCTGCAGGTGCTCAGTATCCTTCAGAATTTGTCCCCTTAATTTGTATTTTTAAGATATAGTTCTTAAGGAAATTCATTAAACCCCTGCCCTCTCATTTTGTCTGTACACAAACGTGCTGCCTAAACAACATCATGCTTTGACTCAGTTAGCATAGGGATTTTCTTGCTGGCAGATGTAGTATGTGCCATATTATTGGTAGCTGCTGACCAAGCCTTCAATGTAGAGACAAGCATGCAAGAAGCCTCCCAGAAGCAGATATCCCTTCATTAAACAGATTGTGCCAACAGTGTGCCATATGGGCAGACAACACCAGCTGTACCATTACAGTGAGCTAGGAAGATTCATCTGTGAGTTAAAAATAGTGAAATAATTTCCAAAGAGCAAGTGATCAAGGCCTTAAGGCCTGTAAGCATGATCACAGTAGGAACTGCCTTGCCAGACCACACAGTAACAATCCAGCTAATCTGATATCCTGCCTCCTTCAATCGCAAATGCAAGCATCTCCTGAGGAAGACATAACACTGCTTTCAAGTGAATACACATCACTTAGAATTTTTCCCGAGAAATGTTTTCGGTGAAAAAGGGCTTTTTTTCCATGAAAAGGGAAGTTTCCACCCAAAGTTTTCAGTTTTGAAGACGTTTCCAAAATCCAGAAATCAAACATACTTTGCTTTGTTAGTAAAAATATTTGACCAAAGCCAGAAACATTCAGCAGAAGTGTTTTGGTATAATTCTTAGAAGAACACCTAGGCTGTGTCTAGACTGGCCAGTTTTTCCGGAAAATCAGCCACTTTTCTGGAAAAACTTGCCAGCTGTCTACACTGGCTGCTTGAATTTCCGCAAAAGCACTGACGATCTCATGTTAGATGGTCAGTGTTCTTGCGGAAATACTATGCTGCTCCCGTTCGGGCAAAAGTTTTGTGCAAAAGGGCCAGTGTAGACAGCCCAGATTTGTTTTCCGCAAAAAAGCCTCGATCGCGAAAATGGCGATCAGGGCTTTTTTGCGGAAAACCGCGTCTAGATTGGCCACGGACGCTTTTCCGCAAAAAGTGCTTTTACAGAAAAGCGTCCGTGCCAATCTGGACGCTCTGTTCCGAAAATGCTTTTAACGGAAAACTTTTCCGTTAAAAGCATTTCCGAAAAATCATGCAGTCTAGACGTAGCCCCTGTGTGACAGGGAAGGTTAGAGGGCTAGATGGGAGAGAGTGTTACTTCAGGGTAGCCAGGAGCAGCTTACCTGAGGCTATTCAAGTCAGCATGGAAGCAGCTATGGCCGGGCTGCTATAAATCAATTAAGGGTCAGATGCAGGGGCAGATGACTGTTTTGCGGGGCCCCGGGTAGTGTAACTCCACGGGGCCCCCCCCCCTGCCCTTGGGCATGCGCTGGGCTTTTTTAAGCGTGGGGCCCGGGGCGACCGCCCCGTTCGCCCTGCCCTATATCTGCCCCTGGTCAGATTATTTGACTTTAGGTGGCCGCTGGACCTTTTAAAAGCCTTCCCTGTTGAGAGGTGAGGGAGAAAGTGGAAGAGGAGTTTGAAGAGTGGAGAGGAACCTGTGACTGATGAGGAGAAGCTGAGACAGTCAACATCAGCATGGCTAGAGACCACAGGGGCTCTGACAGGGAACGTTTGGGCTCCCTTCCCCCAGTAGGTTGAAACTCCAGCTGGTAGCTGGGGAGGAAATGGTCGCTCAGCCCAGGCTGACTGTGGGGCATTTGCCCCGCACCCTTTTAGCAGGAGAACGGAAGCCCAACCCTGGCAAGGACAGGTGGGGCCCAGTCTACATGACATAGGGTATGTCTACACTACCCTCCTAATTCGAACTAGGAGGGTAATGTAGGCATACCGCACTTGCAAATGAAGCCCGGGATTTGAATTTCCCGGGCTTCATTTGCATAAGACGGGCGCCGCCATTTTTAAATCCCGGCTAGTTCGAACCCCGTGCCGCGCGGCTACACGCGGCACGGAGTAGCTAGTTCGGATTAGGCTTCTAATCCGAACTAGCTGTACTCCCCCGGGAAATTCAAATCCCGGGCTTCATTTGCAAGTGCGGTATGCCTACATTACCCTCCTAGTTCGAATTAGGAGGGTACTGTAGACATACCCATAGACTGTGGGATAGTGGACTGACCACGGGTCTAGAACTCAGCAGCAGAATTTACCCTGCCACACGAGACACATTTGAAGAAAAGAATAACTGACCACGGGTCTAGAACCCAGGAGCAGAACTTGCCCTGCCACACGAGACACATTTGAAGAAAAGAATCTTTCAACAAATGCTAAAACTGTCTTTAGCTTAATTTTGTTTTGTAGGAACAAAAAACATTTCAGGATTAGCTGTATTAGCTATGTGTTGCTTTACCAAGAGAGCATATTCTTGGTGATCAACTGGTTTCACACTTGTATAAGTTAAATATATGCTAACTAATTTTTCCTCTGTAATAGTATCAACCTCTTGATTTTTTTTCTGAATTTGATTTTTTTTTTTTAAAGAAGATCCACTACATATTGTTCTTAATCCTGAAAGGGTATTTCCCCCTTCACATATATAATATTCCACTTTTAGCTAGTTATGTTATGGAAATA